ATAATGTTGATGACAGAAATGCAAATGAGCTGAGTTCTGTACTTGAATCCTTTGATCTCACTCAGCACGTAAGTGGCCCCACCCACAGCAGAGGGCACACTCTAGATCTGTTAGTTACTAAGGGGGTGAATATTTCAAATGTAAACGTGGTCGATGTTGCTCTTTCGGATCATTTCTGTGTTTTTTTTGACATGTGTTTCACTAACAAACCACCAGTGGACTCTGCAACTGTACGAAGAAGACACATAAATGAAAATACGAGTGAACTATTTATGGGAATGATAAACTTTGAGAATGCATCGTATTCTACTGTAGATGAACTGTTTAACTCTGTCACCTCTAGTGTTTTGAATGTTCTGGATACCGTTGCCCCTGTGAAGGTTAAAATAGTGAAAAATAAGCAGAAGGCGCCGTGGGCTAAAGCAGACTCGGTCAGGGCACAAAAGAGAAAGTGCCGGAGGGCCGAGCGGAAGTGGCGCAAGTCCAACCTCCAGGTTGATTACGAGATCTTCAAAGATAAGTTGTGCGAGTTTAACCGGGTGCTACGTAGTACGAGAGAAAGGTATTTTTCTGAAATGATTGAAGGCTGCAGCAACAATCTGCGTGTTCTGTTTTCAACAGTTAATAGATTAACAAACCCCACTGTTCAAATGCCATTAGAGCTTACTTCCAAACGTAAATGCAATGAGTTTGCAAATTTTTTCAATGACAAGGTTCAAGGCATCAAAAACGCCATTGTCTCCAATCCACAGATAACCATCCAACAGCCAGAAAGGCTCTCTGAGCTAACTCACTTTCCACCTGTAAATGATAAAACTGTCCAAGAGATAATCTCCAGTTTGAGCTCCTCCACATGCAGCTTGGATGTACTACCCACTAGATTTCTGAAGTCTGTTCTGAGCAGTCTGTTACCTTCACTCACACAGATAGTAAACATGTCCCTTCATTCTGGAATATTCCCAAAGGCCCTGAAAACTGCAGTCATCAGGCCCCTGCTAAAAAAGAGCAGTCTCGATGCTACGGTACTTAACAACTATCGTCCCATCTCAAATCTGCCATTTATGGGGAAAGTCCTTGAAAAAGTTGTCTACCTACAGCTTACTAGATTTCTTATAATTAACAACTCATTTGATATGTTTCAGTCCGGCTTTAGACCCCACCACAGCACTGAGACTGCTCTCGTCAAGGTTCAAACGATATCCGGCTGAACACTGACGCAGGCAAAGTCTCAATCTTAATCTTGTTAGATCTAAGTGCTGCCTTTGACACCGTCGACCATGAGATCCTCTTACAGAGATTAGAGGACTGGGTTGGAGTCGCTGGCACCGCCCTAAGTTGGTTTAGGTCTTACCTTGAGGACAGGAAGTACTTTGTGGAGATTGGAAACTGTGTCTCAGATCATATGGCCCTGACCTGTGGAGTACCACAGGGGTCGATCCTGGGACCTCTTCTGTTCAATCTCTACATGCTGCCGTTAGGTCAGTTAATACGCAGAAACAAAGTGTCCTATCATAACTATGCAGACGACACTCAGATCTATGTCTCACTGACTGCAGGAGAACATGGACCAGTGGACTCACTCCTTCACTGTATCCAACAGATCAGTGAGTGGATGCAAAACAACTTCCTTCAGCTAAACGCAGACAAAACTGAAATGATTGTCTTTGGTCCCCAGAAACAAAGAGAGAGCGTCATCTTTCACCTACAGTCTCTCTCCCTAAAACCTTCAAACAAGGTCAGAAATCTAGGGGTAATACTGGACTCAGACTTAAATTTTAATAGCCACATCAAATCAGTAACATCAGCAGCTTTTTACCATCTAAAAAACATTGCCAGGATCAAAAACATAGTGTCTAAAGCAGACTTGGAGATTCTTATCCATGCATTTGTCTCCAGTAGGTTAGACTACTGCAATGGCCTGCTCACAGGTCTGTCCAAACAGACTGTAAAACAGCTGCAGTACATTCAAAATGCAGCAGCTCGAGTCCTGACAAGAACCAGGAAGTACGACCACATTAGTCCAGTCCTCAGGTCTCTGCACTGGCTTCCTGTGGCTCAGAGAATAGACTTTAAAACAGCTCTGCTTGTGTACAAGTCTCTCCATGGCCTCGCACCAAAATATATTAGTGACATGTTAGTCCCATATGAACCAGCCCGGACTCTGAGGAGCACAGGGACTGGACTCCTGTTAGTGCCCAGAGTCAGAACTAAACATGGGGAGGCTGCTTTTCAGATTCATGCTGCTAAAATCTGGAACAGTCTTCCTGGAGATGTGAGACAGGCCTCCTCTCTGACAATGTTTAAAACCAGGTTAAAGACAGTTCTGTTTAGCTGTGCATACAACTGAGGGATTTTATATTTGTATCTTTCTTTTTAATGTTCTGTGATTATTTATGATTTTAATGCTTTCTTGTTTTGTTCAGCACTTTGAATTGCCTTGTGTATGAATTGTGCTATATAAATAAACTTGCCTTGCCTTGCCTTGTCTCTGCTGAGGCCCGTCCGGTCCCTGTAAGACCGGAGCCAGAGCGGTGTTCGCATCAGCAGTAAGTCAGACCTGTTCCCGGTGCATGTTGGCCTCCGCAAAGGCTGCCCTTTGTCACCGGTTCTGTTCACTGTCTTTATGGACCGAATTTCTTCGCACAGCCAGGGGCCGGAGGGGGTCCGGTTTGGGGACCACAGGATTTCATCTCTGCTATTTGCGGACGATGTTGTCCTGTTGGCTCCAACGAACCAGGACCTGCAGCATGCACTGGGACGGTTTGCAGCCGAGTGTGAAGCGGCTGGGATGAGAATCAGCACCTCAAAATCTGAGGCCATGGTGCTCGACCGGAAAAAGGTGCCGTACCCTCTCCAGGTGGGGAGGTTCTTCCTCAAGTGGAGGAGTTCAAGTATCTCGGGGTCTTGTTCACGAGTGAGGGAAGGATGGAGCGTGAGATCAACAGGCGGATCGGTGCAGCGTGTGCAGTGATGCGGTATATCGGTATATCGGTATATATGTCGCTGTATCGGACCATCATGGTGAAGAGGGAGCTGAGCCGAAAGGCAAAGCTCTCTATTCACCGGTCAATCTTCGTTCCCTCCCTCACCTATGGTCATGAGCTGTGGGTAATGACCGAAAGAACGAGATCGCGGATGCAAGCGGTCGAAATGAGCTTCCTCCGCAGAGTGTCTGGGCGCTCCCTTAGAGATAGAGTGAGGAGCTCGGGCACACGGGAGGAGCTCGGAGTAGAGCCGTTTATTCTCCACGTCGAGAGGAACCAGTTGAGGTCACTCGGGAATCTGTTCTGGATGCCTCCTGGACACCTCCCTGGGGAGGTGTTCCGGGCAGGTCCCACCGGGAGGAGACCCCAGGGAAGACTCAGGACACGCTGGAGGGACTATTTCTCTCAGCTGGCCTGGGAACGCCTTGGGGTCCCCCCGGACGAGCTGGAGGAAGTGTGTGTGGATAGGGAAGTCTGGGCGTCTCTGCTTAGACTGCTGCCCCTGCGACCCGGCAACGGATGAAGCGGAAGAAAATAGATGGATTGATGGATGGATGGAATATTTTGGATATTTCAACATTTTAAGTCAATTTCATTGCTGTTTGTTTGAGTAATTAATTGTGCTAATGGTATTAATATCCCAAAAAAATATTCTCACGACCCCAGCTAGTGTCCAATGGTTCTAGAAACGTGTTTACATCCACAGAAAAACCAGCACAACAGTTCAGAATGGTGAATTTAAAGATGCAGTCAGTGATTTTTTCCAGATGCATTTTTTAAAACCTTGTGGGAAAACGTCCTTAAACCCTAAAAGTAGTCAAGTAATCATGTGTTTTCAAATAGTAAGGGAGATTGACCAGATGCCTATTGTCTCCAAAAATGAACAAATAAGACTTTGGAGCTGGCCGATAAAAATAAACCAATGGGATTCGTTCATCCCCAACGAACCAATGGGATGCGTTTACCCCTTCACCCTATTCCTGATTCTCACGAGTGCGCGCACCTGAGTTGGATTTTCTAAACATGACTGAATTGTGTGATAATCGCGGAGGACATCTGAGATCTGGCAGTGCATTCACACGGTCATTTTCACTGACATCACACATAACGGCCGTGCGCGGGTCTCTCCTTCACACAGTTCATAAAGTCTCACGTCTGACCACAACAGCCACAGGTACCATGAGGACAAACACGTACATGTGGATTGTACTGCTCTGCCGCACTTTCTGTCATGTCAATACTTTTTGTACGGACTGCTTGTGAACGCCCCAAATACTAACATACGCGCGAGCCATCAAATAGTAACGGCTGCAGCAACACGTCTGTACTGTAGTAGGACTGAGTGCAGAGTAAACGTACGAACACAACCCATTGGTCTGATCATTCAGTGTCAGTGAACACATTACACTGTCCTCTACACTTCTCCATAGACCTCACAGAGACAGCAGCAGCCGTGACTCTGCAGCTGTGTACACAGCCGCGATACGCGACTCCTCTGCTCATCAGGAGAATGTGACATGTTCAACTGATGACAGATAATGTCACTTGTGGATGCGCGTTCACGTATGCCGCTTGTTTTGGTTTGATGGAGAGGCGAGGGGAGGAGGGAGTGGTTTCAAGTTGGTGCTACGGCTAAGCTAACAAAATCGCTTACTGCATCTTTAATTAACATTACCTTTTAGGGAATGTCACAGCCTTGGTCTGTGTCAGTTTTACCAGATCTCAGGAAATGGTCAAACATGTTTCAAATACACTGTTCAATGATCAGTGTTTTCAGTCTTCCACTTTCACAGAACATACACTCATACACATTCTGTTTTGGTCTCAGTGTGATTACAGTGGAGGAAAAGCTGTGTTTGAGGTGGCTGGTTCAGCCTGTCTGAAGGCAAAAATAGGACCAAAGTTATGTCAGAGGATTTAAAGTTCTATGAATCCATTTAATGGACCAGTGGACTGTTGTGATCTGGACATATCAGTGTGTTCCTACTGCGTTGTTGAAAAGGACCAATCACTTACTTGTATGAGTGGAGGTCTCTGCAGCCTCACTCTGGAGCCTCTGGAGCTGTGCACACACAGAGAACAGGTACTGCTGTCCAGGCCTCAGGTCTCTGATGGTCACACTGGTTTCCTCAGTTTGGAATTCTTGTACGACATCTTCTCCACTGGAACAGGTCACTGAGTAGTTCTGCACTTCACCAGCAGGGGGCTCCCAGGACAGAGTCACACTGTCAGCTCTGATGTCACTCACTGTGAACGCTGCTGGCGGGCCAGGCTCTGAACAGAAAGAGGAAAAAAGACTGATTATAAAAATGTATTCTTTATGTTTGGTTCATCCACACTAACAGAATTCGTCACAGTGTGGATATCATCTCGCCGCAGTTTATTGGTGGAAGAGGTCCGCAGACACTCGGGGAGCTTCCCTCGCTCTGACGCAGCGGGGGGCTCCCCGGTTGCTGTGCAGACCCCGGTGAGCGAAGGGAAAGCCCCAGGGGGATCTGCGTGGGTTGTCCCCAGGAGTGCTGTCCCTGGTGTGGGAGGGTTCGTGGGCTCTGACGCGGTGGGGAGTCCCAACCGTGTGGCTCAGGGGCGGCCGCGGGGAGTCTCCACGCTCTGACACAGCACATAGCCCTCCCGTGATCGCTGCCTCACCCCTGCAGGGATGTCTCCGTGCTCTGACGCAGCGTGGAGACATCCCGTGTCAGTGAATACTGTTCCGCCTGTTGAGGGCTCTTCGAACTCTGGACTTCTGAACAAGAAATCTGCCTCAAAAGGTACACCTCAACTTTGCTCTTTTAAATGTACGCTCCCTTTTGAATAAGACTTTTATTATTACTGACCTAATTTTAGAGCAACATCTTGATGTAATGTTTTTAACTGAGACCTGGCTGGCTCCAGATGCATCAGCTGTTCTCACAGAGACCCCCCCCCAATTTTAGCTTTGCTTTTACAACAAGGGAAGGGAAAAGGGGCGGTGGCACTGAGCGCTCCGTAAAACCCTTCTAATTCATCTTCAACACTTCTACTATTTCCAAGTATCGATTGTGAATGGGGGTAAATCTAGGATAAAAGCGGTGGCAGAAAAGAATACCAAAAAAGTGGACAACGGGGCACCAGAACTCTAAGTGAAGAAGACGCAGGCAATGCTAATGCTCATGCTAGCGCGCATGACCATGACTCGCCTGAAAGGGGCCAGCTACTCAACCACATAAGCGAACAAATTATGTCTCTAAACACGATGCTTAACGCAAACTGGACAATGTTCAAGGAAGACTTTAAAAAGGAGATGAAAGACGAGTTTGCACAGTTTAAGATACAGATTGACCAGCAGTTAGCCACCGCTTCGCTAAAGCTACAAGATCATGGGCAGAAGCTGGAGGAGATGGCTGCACGCATTGACGAGCAGGAAACTTGGGCCGCGGTGGCTAACGAGGCGCTGAGCCGGTCTCTAAAAGAGCAAAGTGCGACTTCAAATCGAGAGGTCGAGAAGGAACAATGAGAATCTACGGGATTTCTGAAGGAGCCGAGGGGAGCTCGGTGATTCAAGTCGTGGAGGGGCTGCTAGCTAACGAAAAGATAATCAATGGAGGAACAGATCCACAGATACAACGAGCACACCGGTCGCTCGCACCGAGACCGAACTCCAAAGCTCCGCCAAGATCCATAGTAGTGAACGTCCTTCAGTTCAAAATAAAAGAGACAATCCTCAGAAATGCTTGGAAAAAGAACATCCAGATTGGCCACAGGATCCTTTCATTTGACTTTGATTACACCACTGACGTGATTCAGAAACGTAAGGAATATAAATCCACCAAAGCCGCACTGAAGGAGAGAAGTGTCCGCTTTCAGACTCCATTCACCCGGATGCAAATCCACTGGGACAGTGGACCGCAGATGTACAACAGTGCGGGAGACGCCGTGGCTCTGTCAGATCATTTCGGTGTATTTTTTTATATGTGTTTTGATATTAAACCCCCATATGAATCTGAATCTGCAATTGTCAGAAGACAACACATAAATAAAAACACAACCAAATTATTCATGGGAATGATAAACTTTGAGAATCAATCAATCAATCAAACTTCATTTATAAAGTGCTTTTCATACAATAAAATGCAACACAAAGTGCTTTACAGCTTAGTAAAAATCAATACAACAAGCCCAATAAACCCCACCGCCCCACAAACCCACCCACAAACCACCCTAATTATTACATATACATCGAGATGCATATACCCGTACACACGCACACACACAGCGACATATAAAATCACAACAGACAGGTAAAATAGGTAAAACTATGAAAATATATAGGGCTGGGTGCAGATGTATCCAGCTGAAGAAGCTCCATCCAAGGAGCCATCCTCACCAAGAGCAGAGAGCTGCTTGCAGCCACAGGGGACGACACAGGAGAGAGGAGGCCCCAGACCCCCCGCCAGGCCCCCATAGGACCCGGATGAGAGAGGAGGCCCCAGGCCCCTAATAGATCCAAAAGCCAAACCCCTGCAGCCACAGCAGACCGCCGCTCCCAGTGCAGAGGGCTCCTCCAGAGGAAACACTGGGTATACTAAAAACCATACAATAAAGAATAAAACAGCTACCTAAAATTAACAATAATAATAATAATAATAATCCATCGGTTTTATATAGCGCTTTTTTGGACACTCAAAGACGCTTCACATGTCATTATTCATTCACTCCATACACGGTGGTGATAAACTACTGCTGTAGCCACAGCTGCCCTGGGGCACACTGACAGAAGCGAGGCAACCAGTATGTGCCATCGGCCCCTCCCACCACCAACCATTCACACACACACCAGACTCATTCTAGGCAATGGGGGTGAAGTGTCTTGCCTAAGGACACAACGACAGTTTGGCACTTTACAGCCGCAGCCGCCCCACTGTGGCTGCTGTTCCCAGAGGTTAAGTGTCTTGCCAAGGACACAACGACAGTAGTCAGTGGGAGTCGATGGTGAAAGTCTTGAGCGGGGCTTGAACCCATGACCTTCTGGCTCAAAGGCCAACGCTCTACCAACTGAGCTACTGCCGCCCAATAGTAAGAGTAAAACAGAATACGTAAAATTAAATAAATAAATAAGAACCAAAATAAGATGTGTCTAAAACATAATCAAAACTAATCAAAAGCTAATCTAAAAAGGTGTGTCTTGAGCCTGCTATTAAAAATATGAACGTTCTCTGCGGCCCTGAGCTCCACCTCAGACTGTGCTGGAAAGATGCCTCACCGTGAGTGTGTGTCCTGACTTTGGGGATGGTTAGGAGTCTGCTGCCGGAGGAGCTCTTAAAGACCATTAAAATAACCTTAAAATCGATCCTGAAACACACGGGGAGCCAATGCAGCGATTTTAAAACCGGTGTAATGTGGTCCCACCCCCTGGTCTTAGTCAGGACACGCCCCCTGGTCTTAGTCAGGACACGCCCCCTGGTCTTAGTCAGGACACGCCCCCTGGTCTTAGTCAGGTCACGCCCCCTGGTCTTAGTCAGGACACGCCCCCTGGTCTTAGTCAGGACACGCCCCCTGGTCTTAGTCAGGACACGTGCGGCCGAGTTTTGGAGTAAACCTGAAATGTTCTTTTTGGTTGGACCAGAGAGCAGGGCATTACAGTAGTCAATGCGACTGGTGATAAAAGCATCAGCGTCTCCGTGTTGCCCCGAGAGAGAATGGGGCGGACTCTGGCGATGTTCTTTAAATGATAAAAACCTATTTTTGTGATACTCTTGATGTGAGGAATAAAAGTCAGCTCAGAGTCAAAGATTACGCCCAGGTTTCTCACTTGTGGTGATGGATTAAAAGAATGTGATTTGAGTTTTGATAAAAGTTTCTCTCTCTGGGCCTCAGGACCGATGACTAAAACCTCAGTTTTGTCCTGGTTAAGCTGATCTAAAAAGGCATTGAGCTGGATAAAAACAAGTTTTTATAAAATTTTGCTTAAAAATGGCAGGTTGGATACCGGTCTGTGGTTGTTAAATCATTAAAATCTAAATTGCTCTTCTTCAGAAGGGGTCTCACCACAGCTGCTTTGAAGGCTGCAGGAAAGACCCCAGTCTGAAGAGAGCAATCTGAAAAGCAGCCTCCCCATGTTTAGTTCTGACTCTGAGCACTAACAGGAGTCCAGTCCCTCTGCTCCTCAGAGTCCAGTCCCTGTGCTCCTCAGAGTCCGGGCTGGTTCATATGGTACTAACATGTCACTAATATATTTTGGTGCGAGGCCATGGAGAAACTTGTAACAAGCAGAGCTGTTTTAGAGTCTATTCTCTGAGCCACAGGAAGCCAGTGCAGAGACCTGAGAACTGGACTAATGTGGTTGTACTTCCTGGTTCTAGTCAGGACTAATGTGGTTGTACTTCCTGGTTCTAGTCAGGACTAATATGGTCGTACTTCCTGGTTCTAGTCAGGACTAATGTGATCATACTTCCTGGTTCTAGTCAGGACTAATGTGGTCGTACTTCCTGGTTCTAGTCAGGACTAATGTGGTCGTACTTCCTGGTTCTAGTCAGGACTAATGTGGTCGTACTTCCTGGTTCTAGTCAGGACTAATGTGGTCGTACTTCCTGGTTCTAGTCAGGACTAATGTGATCATACTTCCTGGTTCTAGTCAGGACTCGAGCTGCTGCATTTTGAATGTACTGCAGCTGTTTTACAGCCTGTTTGGACAGACCTGTGAGCAGGCCATTGCAGTAGTCTAACCTACTGGAGACAAATGCATGGATAAGAATCTCCAAGTCTGCTTTAGACACTATGTTTTTTGGACAGTTTGATCATTTACAGGTGCAAAGTGAGTTAGCTCAGAGAGCCTTTCTGGCTGTTGGATGGTTATCTGTGGATTGGAGACAATGGCGTTTTTGATGCCTTGAACCTTGTCATTGAAAAAAATTGCAAACTCATTGCATTTACGTTTGGAAGTAAGCTCTAATGGCATCTGAACAGGGGGGTTTGTTAATCCATTAACTGTTGAGAACAGAACACGCAGATTGTTACTGCAGCCTCCAATCATTTCAGAAAAATACCTTTCTCTCGTACTACGTAGCACCCGGTTAAACTCGCACAACTAATCTTTGAAGATCTTGTAATCAACCTGGAGGTTGGACTTGCGCCACTTCCGCTCGGCCCTCCGGCACTCTCTCTTTTGTGCCCTGACCGAACCTATATCCATAATCAGATCCTCTGCAGATGTGTCCTATAATGTGCAATTCATAATAATAGCTTCTTCCGGGTTTTCCGCAATCGCTTTTTTTGTGCATAAAAACATTATTTTTTTCATTAAAACGTTAACAGATAATTCTGAAAACCTCCGTGCATGTGTATTAATAATATATATGTATAATGTGTTCTCTGATTAACATTTAAAAGTGTTACGGAAACGTAGGAGTAGACCAATCAGAAAGCAAGGGGGAGGAGCTTGCGTCGTTTTTTCAAATCAAGAACCTCTCTCTTTTTCTGACAAACTCCCACGGCGCCTTCTGCGCGCCGTGGGCGCAGAAGGCGCCGTGGGAGTTTGTCAAAATTTTGCCTGAGGAAGGCCTGTGGCCGAAACGTTGCTAATAAACCACTGGTGTTTGCAAGTTTGGACAGTGTGCGGGTGTCATCCTTTCGGTGATATAAAATTTAAAATGATCTTAGAGAGCATTATACTTTTGGGAAAAATAGGGCTTAGGATAGCAGTTGAATGCAGAATTCGGTTTTCAGAATTTAATGTTTAAAATGTTAATATTAATTATGTCATAGGTTTATTTAGATTTGTAATTAATCATTGGTTTTGTATGGTATTAACACACTTGTTTGTGTTTCTTGTTTGTCTGTTTTTTCTGAGAAAACTTCTGTCTGTTTCATTGGCCGATTGCCAAAATTGTCTCTGCCACAAACCTCAACCGAGCGTCATCAAAACGGACCATCAGCGTCTCCCCCGACCCACAGGGGGCACCAACAACAGCAGTATCTGCAGCAGCTAACAGGAACTCTCGAAGAAGACTTCTCCGGCCTCCATTTCCATGGAGAGAAAACTACAGACTGTCACTCCCGTATTCGTCCCGGAAACCCGGATTCGTCCGGAAGTTCAGTTTGATCCAATGAGCACAGGCAGCAGTAGATTACGTCACGGAATCTGGACGGAAGCGGAAGTAAATATAAAAAACTACCTATTCATGCCTAAACTTAACCAGCCATTCCCATAAAATAACCCCAACCCAGCCTTAACCCTAAACTTAACCATCTTAATCAGACGCCTAAACTTAACCAGTCTCCACTTAAGGACATATTAAACTTTTTGACATGCGCAAACTGAACTTCCGGACGAATCCGGTTTCCGGGACGAATCCGGGAGTGACACAGACTTTTGCACAAAAACTGAGGGAAGTTATGTGCACGAAGAGGAACGTTGTGTGAACCAAGCGAAAGAGACGACACATTTGTGTGCGTCAGATATGAGAAAGAAAGTTATTGGAAGAAAGAAAAAAGTGATTGAAAGAAGAAGAAAGACAT